AATGATACTGTCAATCTAAAAATCTGGAAGTCTCCATTAGTCTCCTTTTAAAAAAGCATATTTATTTATTTATATTCCATCTTTATTTTTATAAATAATTCAAGACAATAAACATAACAAATACTCCATCTTCCTCATATTTTCCCCAAAACAGCCCCACATCCCATGAAGTAAGTTGAGTTGGGAGAGAATGATAGGCCAAAGTCACCCAACTGGTTTTCATGCCTAAAGCAGGACTAGAACTCACAGTGTCTTGGTTTCTAGCCTAGTGTCTTAATTGTTCGACCAAATTAGCTCTCATATTAAGCAAATGCAGGCAAACACAATGTGCTTTTTCTGTGAATAGCCCAATTGATTTAGTCATCTCTGATTTATTTCCTGTTGATTTTAAAAAAATCAGTGATCAAATCTTATTTAGAGTACTGTACTTAAAAACAAAGACTAATATTTTCAACGTGCTCTGTTACATAATGATTTTCTACTTTTTGGGAGATAGGCTGAATGAGTTATAATTTAGTGCAGCTTGGCTTAAAGACTTCTCCCCATGTGACTTCTTTTCTTTTCTTCAACTTGTCAACAGAGTGCAAGAACTATCCATAAATGGGCACAAATGTGCAAATCAGCTCAAAATCCCAGATGACTGTATATATAAAAAGAATTGTAGGCAATTGCTCTTTTTATTTTCCTTGCTTCTCAATACACACTACAAAACTCTAGAGAACTTTAGAACTAGTCTTAGGACTTAAATTCTCAAGATTATGTCCAGGGTGTCAGTGTGCTTCCAGATAGTTCGCTTAGCTCCACCTGGCTGTTTTACATTAAAGAAATGGGAAGCTGACATATTGTAAAGCATCAAGCTAAGGTACCACCTTTATTTCCTGAATACTCTGGACTTCCATGCAATATGATGAATGGGTGAAGCCCATTTCACTGATCTGGAATGCAGATTTGTAAAGGTTCACATCAGTTGCAATCATTGAAGTAAGGAGTAAACACTGCTCAGCCTGCCCACCTCTTACCCCAGCATGCCAAGATTGTTACTCTATATAAGTTATTTACAGAATGAAGTTCAGGGCAATGCCCTTTCCTCACTACTAGAAAACTGCTGTTGGAGAAGAAGATAGCAGCAGGAGCCATGTCACAAACAATGAGAAGGAAATCAAATTATGTTCTTTCTTGGGAAAAATGTGAAAGGATTCCAGCTCAATCCTACAAAAACTGCACCCACTGGAGAGAAATGAGAACTGTCACTAGGCAAGTTTCACTAGGAGAAGGAATTGCCACCATTTTTCATGGTAGGGAAAGATCCCTTAAAGAAGTAGGACTTGGGGTGGAAATGGGTGGATTCTACTAGAAAAAAACAGGCTGTAAAATACACTGTTACTGTAAATAAATGTTATAATACTTTGTTGTAAATAATAGACTATTACTGTGAAAGCTTCAGGCCATTTATTAAGAACAAACATGACACTAGAACTGTAAACCATCCAATTTTGGGAATCCCTGAATGAAATGTGTGTCTTGCTAGTAACATATCCCTCCTAGTAATATCAGAAAAAAAGGTGACTGAGTTTGCAGAGAGCAGAAATAAATGTCTAGGGGCAGATGGTTCCAGGCACTTTAACAGAGCTCTATCTTAAAAAACTACAGATTGAAACTTCTATAATCCATAATCTTAGAAGGGGTTGTAAAGATGATCAAGGGCCAGACTAAGGAACCCTAGTAGGGATGGAGGAAATTGATAAAAGCCCCAATCACCCAAATAGAAGGAAAACAGCCACAAAAGAAAGCCAATCACATATTCCTATTTTTTCTCTAATTGTTCCAAATGGAAATAACTGCTACAATATCTGCTGGGCTTTTCAACATTTATCAAGAAAATTTTGGTTTATAGTCTTATTGAAGATACCGAAGACAAAAAACTGCCTAAAGTCTGCCTAAAGAAAATTGAATGCAGAAAAAACTCATATGCATTGGACATCCCAAAACACATAAATGGCATAAGTCCAGACATGAAAAAGTTGGATGCTAGTTTACTAATTAGCCTTCCTGAATTCATAGATGAATTTGGGTCTATGTTCCAATTCTTTAAAAGATTTTATGACAATTAGAAGAAGTCTTGTGACTTTTAAATAGATTGTATAAAATAGATTCTGTTTGGCAATCAAATATGATGGAAGCTTTTAGGACATTTGTAAGATGAAGCTTTTAGGAAAAATCAGAGAATTTTTAATTGAATGCTGCATTCTATGATATCTACCATATTTGTGTTTTGTATCCAGCAGCATCAAGTAGCCAGTATCCAAAATAGATAATGCATTGCCTCAAGAGTATGACTGAAAGCAGAAGCCTATAGCCTATTACTTCAGAAAGTCAGTCAGCCCAAAATGAGAAACTTGAGTTTATACTTCATACAACAGTATAAACATATCTGTGCTTTTCAAACTAGCTGTTTAACTTGGAATCATCCCAGTTGTAGAGACCTGAAATCATTGCTTGCCCTTATATATTCCAAAGAATATAAATTTGAACTAAATACCACTGAGATGAGATACTACAGATTACATGATGTAATGTAGCTCTCAAGCTGAATGTGAATAATAAGATTATTATGATTGGTTGCACAGTTTGCAAGATGTTTAGGCTGGATTGGACATGTTTATTATTTCTTCCTAAGGTTTTCATGCAAATGCATGGTGCACTTTTCCCCTCTAATAACTGAGTGTTGATCCATTGGTTGTGACAGGAATTATATTTTTATCCCACCTTTGTTATACAGTATATAAAACTCAAGGTGGCAAACATACTTAAAACCCCCACCTCCTATCTTCTCCACAATAACAGATCTGTGAGGTGGGATGGGCTGAACTGGACCGAGAGAGAATGACTGGTTCAAAGTTACCCAGCTGGATTTCATGTTTAAGGTAGAACTCACAATCTTCTGGTTTCTAAACCAGCACCTTAACCAAACTGCCATTTGTTGTTGTTGTTGTTGTTGTTGTTGTTGTTGTTGTTGTTGTTAGACATTGAAAGTCTGTGGGTCCAGAAAGAAATGACTATTAGTGCTTCTTTCCAGATTTCCAAAATGCTAAAGTATTTCAATATCTTCATAAGTTTAACTAATATAAAAAAATACCATCTAGACTAAAAACTTTTAGTTGTTTACCAAAATCCTCTAATTGAAGTTCAACCATTTAGAAAAAATAACTACTTTCATGCAAACTTCAGGCCCCGTTTGTAATTGGTCCATTTGGCATACATAGCACACCACTATTTCTGATTCAGAACTGTAAAGAATTGGGATCTTTATGTAAAATAGTTGCTATCATATACATCCAGCATGCAAAGAGAAGATGAATAATACTATAAGAATATGAGGCAATTTTAGTATTCAGCTGAGATATAACAAATACTTTAAAAACTCACAATAGCATCATCAAAAGTAGAGGTCATGCAAAACTGTTCAATTACCATAGTGAAATCAAACTCTTAAAGCATTTTTAGCAACCAGGAATGTATTATTCTTATTGTTCTTCATATTGTTATTAGCCAAAAAGAAATACTGATGGTTAGTCCATTGCCAAATAAATCACTGAAGATCATTAGTGCTAGTAATTGTAAAATTACAGGTCACAATAACTTAATTGTTATGGACTGTTTTTTCAGATATCTTTAGTTTTTCAAATACAGTCACAGACTTGTAAGGTCTACTGCCACTAATTGCTTGGAAATATAGAAAATGGTTAGAGATGGATAGTGCAATGAACTTATTACAACTAATGATCCTCATGTCACAAGAAAACCTTTAGTCATATTACAACCAGTTCTTCACCATCCCTATGATAATGGAGAAGCTGAAAGAGACATTGAAACTACACCTTGAAATTTACCACAGGAACATTGATGTTTATCTTTATTAAGTTCTAGAGTGACTCCTATTAAGCCAAACTACAGTTTAGCACTATTGATGAGTCAATGGTCTTGGAAACAAACTTGAATCTTCACTTATCTGATTTCCAGGATACTGTGTATCATACAAAATAGGTACAAATTCCACTGATACACATCATACAATGCAGACTTTCCTAGAACTACAAGTTAAATTAGGTATTTAGAAGGGATATTCAGTCAAACAGGAACAGTAGCTGATACCCCAATCCTGTATTATTAAACTGCTGGTTTACAGCTATTTGGATCTGAAGTGGAAAAGGTGTCTATGATCCAGTAGGCATTTGCTGATCTTCTTTTAAGAAGCTGCACTCTTTCCTGGGCCAGTACACTAGCTGTGTGAGACCAGAAAAATAGATGTTTGAGTTGCAGTGACCTTGAAGACCTTATCAGCATCTCTTTTGCTGAAGTACACTTTTTTCTGCTACTTTGGATCCAAACATCTTCACATCACAAATTAATGAAGGAAGCATGTCCCTTATCTCTAGAGCCATGGTGGCGAACCTATGGCACGCATGCTACAGGCGGCACGCGGAGCCGTCTCTGGTGGCACGCGAGCCATTGCTGGCCGAGCTGTTCCCTCCTCCTCTCCATGCATGTACAGCTCTCCATGCATGCACAGTCTGGGAATAGGCGAGAGACTATAAAAAGCAACTTTTGGCGGAAGCAGCATTTGCTGCAGACAGCGAGAGAGCAAGCACGAGTCAGAGCGGACAGTGAACGAGTGAGCAAGTGAGCATGAGCTGACAGCTCGGTGACCACGCCCACTCAGTGGCCACGCCCACCCAGCACCCGGCGATGCATAAGTGGGTTTTGGGTTGCAGTTTGGGCACTCGGTCTCTAAAAGGTTCACCAACACTGCTCTAGAGCATGTCCTGTAAAAGCATCCATAGTAACCAACAGACACCATGGAAAGTCCTAGAAAGGCTCAATATGGTATAGTTCACTTGAACCAGCAAGATACATAGTTTAATGTTTAAACTAGTGCATGAAACCTAGAGAGACATTTCAGAAGAGTTAGACTTATTCATGGAAATTTTCTTTGTCTCCATTTCTTCTGCAAGAATATCTACCACTTTCATCAGTGAGACATTTCCCTATTTCAACCAGAATTTAGAACAGACACGGGACATTTGAAGACCATAGGTCCAATCTAATCCAATTATTTACGTCAGGCTCCAAAGAAAGATAGAGAGGTCTCTTCTGCCTAGCTTTTCATCCCATAAATGCCTCTTCCTGATCCAGGAGAAAAGTTTCAAATACAGGAGCTTCTCATTCCAGATCCTCTTCTTCCAAAAGCATAGACAACAGCAAGTTTGAGCTGGTGGGAATACAAAGGACAGAGTGTAGCCAGTGATTGCTATTGTTAGAGAGGAATGTTCAAAAAAGTGAGAGACTTCATTGTACCACAACAAATTTTGGTCACAACTAATATTTGACGTTAGCATTCAGGTGCAGCAATTTAGATAACTTTATATGAAAATGTTACATCCCAATGCAGAAAAGAGAGTAATAGATCTTTAGCATGCTGATCAGATATTCCTAAAACAATCCACATGGGTGTTTCTTCAACCAAAGTCGGTGATTATGTGCCATGTTTATTTGGAAATATTACTTTTTCCTGGCTATTGGAGGGCAGCCATTGAGATCTTCGTGTTCTGTTACATTGTGCTCAGAAGTGTCATGAGAATAATCTTTCATGGTGCTGTAGAAGACAGGGGTGTTAAACTGTGTGGCAATTTCAGTTCTCTTCTGCTCGCATTTGCATAACTTTCTGAAGGCAGCTCTAAATTTTTGGGACATCAAGTTATAAATGACTGGATTGATAGCACTATTCAGATAAATGCAGAGTCTACAGAAGAGGACAAACCAGCTGTTCAGGTAGGGAGGGTCCATGAAAGAGTTGACCACCACTAAGGTTCGGTATGGCATCCAGAGAAGGGCAAAGAGGATCACCACCACAGCCAGCATCTTGGTCACCTTTGAGTTACAAAGAGACAAAGAAAGCAATTTTACATCTTTGGTAGCAGTTTCAAGATTCTAATTATAGTAGAGGGAAAATACACACACACACACACACACACACACACACACACACACACACAAATGCACACATAAATATAACATTAACAAAGTAGCTACAATACTTAAAAAAAAACTAGAAATTGTGACTGAATAAACATTTGACTGTCATTCTGAAGATCAGAGCTCTATCATCTAAAAAGGAGGGGAAATTCTTTTCTTCCAAACTATCATAACTGTTCTTTAGAAGGAGTAACATTAGATTTGCCCACCAGACTAATGAAAATGGCATGTACAGAAGCAGGTGTGAAGCCTTCTACTGTATTTCACCTACTGAACAAGGGCATATGTGTTCTTGCATAGATGGGCACTAAACCTTTTCTCCAATAATTTGGAGATCAGTGTACTGGGTCTGGCAATGGGGAAAACCCATCTATGAAAAGAACATAAAGTGTTAGTAAAAACTGACATTGGAGAATGGTTTTCCAATCAAACTGTTCCAAATAACAAGGGACTTGTGCTCAGGTTGCTCTTGATATTATTATCAAAGATCTGTTGCTTCAGCTCCTGTGAGGCCTTCTTGAGGATGAGAATGGTTAAATATTGAACAAATTTTATGTTTAAAACTATACTATGCTAATACGTAATTATGCTGCAGGGTCAGGAAAGCTAGGAAGCTATTAATAAAGACTAATTTGTCAAAAATTATGGTGGCTGAGTTACATACAAGACAAGGTAGAATTTATTCCAGTCTCCAAGTACAATAAAGTATTGGAAAGACACCTAGAGACTCACAACAAAATTTTTAAAAATCTAGAGTATGTTACTGCTGGAAAGATTGATTCATGAGGATAATGAATCTGCATTGTGTTTAACAGATGGCTAATTACATTTTATCTAAAGATATTCATTGCAGCCAGCGTATAATTGCTATCATTAAAATTTCAAAATGGAATTTGCAAATCTATGGGCTCTGAGAAAAATTATTCTTAGTGCTTCTTTCCATATTATCAACCACTGAAATGAAATGCTCAGATATTTCAATATCTTAATATGTTTACTAGAAAATCCATTAATGGATAACTAGTTGAGTGATGGTGGATGATTTTTTGAGAAAACTCCTTTTGTTTTATTTTAATTATTAATTAGTCATTTCTCTCTATAATAAAAGGAAAAGGCTCGGGGGCTTGATCAGAGGTTTATTTGAGTTATAAGCAGGATAGCTGCATCAATAGAAAAGTTGTTGAGTAAATTGGGAGGGCATTAAATTCAGGGCTAAAACTCAAGAAATTGTGTCTTCTCAACACTTTTTGGTACTTTCTGGAAGATCTTATGGAGAATTGGAGTAATCTCTACAGAGGCTTGTATGTGGCTGTTACCTCAATTTTTGACAAATATCAATAGCAACCTTTGGATGGGAATTCAAACCAGAACAGATTAGCAGTGTCACAAACAGATGTGCATAAAAACATTACTGAATAATATCATGAGCAAGAAAAGAAGGCAGTGATCAATAGAGAAAATAGTGACAATTCATTATCTAATGAATTACATCAACCTCTCTCATAGGCATCTGCAGGACGGCAAAGATCAAATGTGCCTGGTGACATTAATTCTACCCATTAGTGTATTTCTGTGTGATGATGTAATGTATGTATAAAATAAAATGATGCAAGTATAACTTGAATCGTGATTCACAACACATCACTTTGGTATCAATTTGGTTAGGAATGGATGCATGTATCCCTCCCTCATGTGATTGGTCAGGACTCATTGGCCAAGAGAATAAGCATTTTCTGAATCTGCTTAATGATAAAAAAAAAGATGTTAGATTGGACATTATTTCTGTGGACCTGTGTTCATCACGTCCACATCATATGAAGCAGTGATGAAGATTGCACATAAATATGTTTTAGAGTAGATAAAAATGCTTCTTTATCTACTCCAAAACATACTTGTATGCAATCTTCATCACTGCTTCATATGATGTGGAAGTGGTGAACACAAGGCCACAGTAATTTCCTCCCAGTCAGGGAAAAGGCACAGTTGGCACACCAGAAGAAGCTGTGCAAAGGCCTTCCTGATGACAACTGTCCCCTGAGCATTGAGTAGGAGTTGTGAGCACTGGAAAAACCCAAGATTGCATACCATTCTTAAAAGGGGAAGTGCAAATTCAGAGATGGAACCTCCCTGAATCTGGATAGCCCAAACACCCACAGTCATTTGGTTTTGGTAGGATTGAGTAAGAGATGATTTCTCCCATCCAAAGTTGCACAGCTCCCAGGCATTGGAACATTCAACAGGCTCTCTTGGTTGGCCCAGAATAAAAATATATACTTGGGTATCATCAGCATACTGATCATCAGTATACTGAAGATACCGAACACCAAACTGGAAATGTTCTCACCCATATAGATGCTGAAAAGGAGGGGAGAGAGAGAACCCTGAAGCAACCCACAAAGGAGAGTCTGAGGGAATGACCTATCCCCCTAACATTGACTAGAATGAACTACAAAGGAAGAGAACCACCATAGAAAAGTGTTCCCAAACTCCATCCCACAGAGTTGGCTCAGAAGGATACTATGGACAATGGTATCAAAAGACACTGAGAGATCAAGGACCACAAGGATGGATTACCACCTCTGTCCCAGCTCTGACATAGGTCATCTACAACCAAAGACAGCACAACCAAAGCTGCCTCAGCACTATATCCTGGCCTGAAATCTAACTGAAATGGAGCTAGATAATCCTTCAGGATTCTCATGTATTGTGGACTTATTACCTTCTCAATAACCTTTCCCAGAAACAGAAAACTGGAGACTGGTCAATAGCTACTGAAAACTGTTCAATCCAAGGAGGGCCTCTTGAAGAGAGCCTCAAGGCAGGAGGTAGCTGCCTCTCCTTCAGTGAGGCTGAAACCAATATACCAATAAAGCAAAATATAAACTGATATATTTTCATTGAGCTACAGCTAGTGAAAGCCACTGTTTAAAGTTAGATCAAATCAGACTTGCTTCTCTCTGAATATCACATTATAAGAGAGCTATATTTAAAAAGTACTAATAACATAACAATTGTGCAGATTAAATGTATTTAAGTCCTCATAATAGAATGTTTTACTATGTCTACTTCTTAGTTTTATAATTTCAAAATGATTCTAAGAAATTCTATAGTTTTTCTTTATCAAATTGGGTTTGCTATAAACCAGGCTATATTTCATGGTTTTCATTGGCCATCCTAATAATGTGGAAGGTTTTACAAGGTTTTATCATCACCTCTCAGACTTCAAAGTAGACTTTCGCTATGATTTATTGTCTATCAGACCTTTCAGTGAATTAAAGGTGCCTGCCAACTCCATCTTTCAGTTGATTAGATAGAAGGCCAATAAGATTGTTTTATGCAACTCTTCCAAATTTTTCTAATCCAGAGTTGGCTCAGTTCCAGGTCCTAACAGGTCTTACTATCCAGTACTCTTGATCTCTTGTTCATGGAAACTTTAAAATTTCAAACTGCGTTTAAATGAAGCCTAAACCATTCTGGTTACACACCTCACCCTTGTGTCTCATGTTTGATATTTACAAATGACCAGTGGTACTTCAGTCATATAGCTGAGTGCAAGGATGGGTAACCAGTCCACTGGAATCAGCAAGGCCAACAATTTTTGAACATTTTTTTGTCTTGGAATGATGAGTGGGAGGATTTTAGAAGACCACACAGATGGCCTTTCAGAGGCTTACAGCTATTGTTCCATTCCTTAGTTCCTTCATCCAAATTGTTGCTATTTTCCAGGACTTCAACCTCTCAATAGGGTAAAAAGAGATCAGAAGTTTAGTCCTATCCTTTCTAGTGATAATATTATATAATTAGGCATCAATATTGCAACCCTCAGACAGAATGTAAAGGCTACACTATTATTAGGTTAATCCTATGTTGAAAGATTTTGATTGATATGTCTAATAATTTTGCTGTTTTCATCTATTGATATATATTATACACAATTCACAGTGAAAATGGAAATCTTCATGATAGAAATGAAATAGCCTAGTCTCTGCATTGAACTAGTGCTTCGATAATGATAGACTAACAGATATTCCTTTTCTTGCTCCAGGTTTTCAAGAAAAATATCTGAATATCTTGAATTTTCATATCTTCCATCTGCCCTATGACACCCAGTTAAAGGTTGTAGAAACAAAAAATTTAATAGTATATTGATTCATCTTTGCCTACTGAACTGATTGCAGTAATGGGTTTCATTTTGTTGCTTATTGCTAACTGAAAGTATTGCTTCTCATTTCTTCGACAATGCTAAGAAGTTGAATGGAGTTAGAGAAATGTCACAACAATCAAATGAAATCTGCAAGAAGAAGAAACATTACATCATACTTTTAGAGTGAGCTGTTTGAACTGATTTTCCCAACTTTCAGTATATTCAGAAGTAAAACAGGATTAAAGCCAGTTCAGCTTTTGAGAGAAAGGTACACAATACTTTCTAATAGGAATGAAAGCATTTCAAAGAAGGAAAATTTCCTATGGGAAATACTGCCAGATACAGTATATTGGAACAATTACTCTCAGAAATTCTGTTATTCAGCTTGCTAGTTGGGAGATCTGGGAATTGCAGCCAAATACATCTGGAAGATAGCAGGTTGCCAATAGCTGAAGTACACACTTTTTCGTCCAGTACCATCTCAACCAGGGGTATTGGCAGAGTATCATCAAAAAAGTCATGTTGAAGTCAAAATTCTTCCTCTTTAACAATGGAAGAAGATTTGATCAAATCACAGTGGTCATTATCTTGCTTGTTTATTTGACTGTCTTTTTTAAAAAATGTCCTAAACGTCATAGATGAAATAATATCTAAGTAACAAGATGACATTGATTACTCAATAAAAGGGTTGTGTGAAAAGTAGTCATAAGTTACTTTTTGTCAATGGTGTTATAATTTTACATGGTCACCA